CCCTGGCAGAGCTTGAGCCCATGTCCTCTTGTCCTATTGTCGGTTGCCTGGGAGAAGAGACCAACCCCCACCTGGCTATAACCTCCCTTCAGGTAGTTGAAGAGAGTGATGAGGTCGCCTCTAAGCCTTCTCTTCTCCAGACTAAACAACCCCAGCTCCCTCAGCCTCTCCTCATAGGACTTCTCTCTTTACCCCCAAACCAACTCTCAAATACTTGCACCATGTTTTTTAAACTATTTTCCAAAGAAAGTAAAACACATGCATACATGTTCATTTTTTCCCAATTCATTGGCAGTGAACTGCAGCATCCAAAGATGTAAGTTTTATGAAAGTGGTTACCCAGGCAGAGGAGGGAGAACAGTGGCTAAAGAGGTGATAACAGTACCCTTATCTTGACACCTCTAATGATTTGTAAAGATCAATTACTGAGCAATTGTTTTGCTTACTAGATTTTTTTTTTTAATTATGTTACAGATAAATGATGGTAGAATGTGGCACCAAAAGGGTTTATGACCCCAGTTGTAAATGCTCGTGATTTGTAGTGTATCTCTTCAATCGGGCTAGGTAGATGTGCAGTAAATGCAGCAGGCTTTCGCACATTCATAACCAGGCTGCATCTCCTGGTCATCAGCCAAATATAGGCAAAAGTGTGGACAGAAATATAACAAGTTTCAGGTTTGTGCTATTGATCCACTCTTTCTATGACATAGATCACAAGTCTGGAGCACAAGTCCTGTGAGGAGCAGCTGAGGGAGTTAGGGTTATTTAGCCTGGAGAAGAGGAGGCTCAGAGGAGACCTCATCCCTTGCACAGCAATCCTGAAGGGAGGTTGTGGTCAGGTGAGGGTCGGAACTCTTCTCTCGGGTAAATAGTGACAGGACGAGAGGACATGTGCTTCAGGTTGGACATAAAGAATTTCTTCAGTAAAAGGGTAGTTAAGCATGGGAATGGTCTGCCCAGGGAAGGGGTGGAGTCACACTTCCTGAAAGTGTTCAAGAAACGCCTGGACGTGTCACTTAGTGCTGGGGTTTAGTTGACGTGGTGGTGTTCAGTCACAGGTTGGACTCGATGATCTTGGGGGTCTTTTCCAACCTAATTGATTCTATGATTATCTGAGACACTAACAGCCCTCAGCATCACAAGAGCCAGGCACGAGATTTTGGAAAGCTTCCCTCATAGCGCCGGGAATGCTCCTGGATGCAGAACTGTCAAGGAGGTGGGTTCAATCGCTGCTTCTCTATAATTTCTAAGCCATTTTTTTTAATCCGGTACGAGATCTTTTTGAATTGTTTAATATAACGCAGAAGGGGCACGTAACATTGTTCAGAGAGAGGTGGAAGTAAGGGCCCTTAGGGCCCCTCCAGCTCTCAGTTCCCCGTCCCGGTGTCCGCCGCTCTTCCCGTGCGGGTGTTCCCGGCCCCTCCCCCCGAGGGGCCTCGTCCTCACGGGCTGCGCGCGCCGCCCGCAGCCAATGGCAGCTCGGCACACAGCGCGTGCCCGCACCGCGCATTGGCCGGCGCGGGGCGGGGCGGGGCGGGCTGTGAGGGGCGGCGGGGGCGGCCCCGCCGTGCCCGTCATGGCGTGGAGGCCGCTCCGGGCGCTGCGCCGCCGCTGGGCAGCCTACAAGTACCGCTTCGTGCCCTGGCTCGCCCTCAACCTCCGCCGCCAGCGGAGGTGAGGCACGGGGGGAGCTCTCAGGCGCCAGGCCAGTCCCCGCTGCCCCTCCTCAGAAGGGGCTGGGGCCGCCGCTCGGGTTTGTCACTGGGAAGTGGTTCGGCCTTGGGGTGTCCCTTGGCTGGCATGGAACTGTTATCTAGATTTAAAATGGTATTTAACGTTGAAACTAGGTACATTGATTGTTGGGGTTTTGGTTTTGATTTTTGAAAGGTGTGTTTGCCCAATTTTAAACGTAAAAGCAGTGTTTGAATTTAAATGATCGGGACATTGTTATAAGTAACTAAACTAAAACAAGTAACAAAATCAAAATCTACTTATCAGCATAACGTTTGTCCTCACCGCGTTCATAGTGTGATGAACTATTTGTGGTTTGTTTGTTTGTTTGTTTTTTAAATAAATTTCAATAATTATGTTTTATTTTTGGTGCATTTGACACGGAGAGCTCAGGAGGGTTTAATCTACTGGACTTAACAGTAAATATACAGATGATGGTTCTGTAGTAGAGCAGGCACTGGTTTTAACTAAACAGTCCTTATATGGCACCTTTAGATGATTTTAGTGTTAAAACAGTTTTAATTGGAACAAGCATGAAAAAAGGGGTTATCCGAAACAAAACTTTACTGCTCCTGCAAAAGAGCTCTTTTCTCCTTACTTAGGGGGAAAAAAAAAAATTCATATCTCTTTTTAAAATACTTTATTTTCTTCACAGGACCCTCCGATATGTTCCTGAAAGTTCTCAAGACAAAATTATCTCTGATGAAGATGTCTATGAAACACTACTGAAAACATTTAAAGCTCTGTTCCTAAATGACTTCAGTAGACAAGCAGATATTTTGGCCTTACTTCCAGAAGTCAAATGTCAGTATCTGGAATTACTGACTTTGGAGCAGAAGTGGTCAAAAGTAACTTCATGTAACCATGGAAGTCAGCAGGTGTTTAGTCCTGAGGAAGTTCTGTTAAACACACTGGGATTCACTGTTAGTAGAGACCGGAGTTCCCTCGTGTCTGCTGGGACTGGAGTCTTTGTTACCAAAGGTTTTGTGCCAAAAGGGACGGTTGTGTCAATGTATCCTGGTAATGAAATGTTCTTATTTTTGGTTTAGATATGATTTCTAACCATTTAATTATGGAATGCCAAAGTTCCGTGCTTATTTTTATTTTATGGGCTTTATTTCTCTCATTCCTTAACAAAATCACAAGTTATGGTGCATAAGAATATTTCTGAACTGACTAGACTTGGTTTTTAAATAAGCAAAACAATATTGGGAGGGATAATTTTATTTATAAAAAAACTTTATTGCTTAAACTCTGATTTCCTAGCTGCTACAAAACTTGTTTCAGATTCTTTAAACACAAATGCATGGGAGAAATTTCAAGTAGCTGAACAGTACAATTTAATTCCTTGGGGTTTCCATTTTGATTCAAGATCTGAAAAATGAGGTTCTGAGATCTCCACGTGAGTCAGTAGACAAGAGTAAGAACTTCTTTAAAGCACAAAAGTACAAATTGGAGAATGAAAATAAAGTGTTCAGTTAGCAGAACAATTCTGTAAAGTATGTTTGGAAAAATCAGCACTCCTCTGTCCTCCTCCTCATTTCTTGGAACTGTATCTGCGTACATTTCTTAAAAAGGTTTGTAATCCTGTCGGTATGGCCCAGCTAGGACAGCTCTGCTGACATGCTTTTGGGTTTGTTTCTGTTTCATCTGTCAACAGAACACCTCCTGCATGTGGTCTCTGGCTCATCCCAGCACTGCAGGATGAGGAGCAGCCCGAGTCCTGGGTGTTTTGTTGTGCCAGGGCCGGAGTGTACGGCCATTACCGTTGTAATGGTGAATGGTGATTACTGGTGAACTGACCAGTTGTCAAGTGAGAGTCACAGATAGTGGTCCTGCTGCTTGGCAGCTCACTTTAAATTTCAGGCATGTACTAAATGTGAGCCTAGATTCATTCAGAGTCTCCTCTGGCAGCTCCTCTAGCATGAAAAGGGGATAAGCAGGTGAAATACCTTTGGTTTTCAAGGGAATCAAGGTAACTACAGAGTGGTGGGCTGGGTGTGGTACCCTGTGGACAGGGACCGTGTGTTTGTGAGCTTAGCCTTTGCCTGGCTCCTTGTGAGACTGCAGTGAAGGATTTTTACTGAGGGGTGCTGAAGGTGCAGTGGATGTGAGGGGGTTGCAGGACAGCAATTCCATGAGAAGCTGTCAGCCTGTCAGCTCTTGCTTTTCTGTGCTTAGAAGCTGGTTAAATCCTCTCTGCAGATTTTGGAAATGGTCTGCTGAAATAACTTCTTCTTGGTTTGTCATTTTCCATTTCCTGGGTACCGAGCAAAATCTCTGATGTAGGGTGGTGGAGGTTGGTGTTTCAGATTCTTTGCTGTTTGTGTGTGCTTTTCAGAGTCCTGACACAGTAGTAACAAAATAGCATAGTATCTTCAGCTGTGTTTTCCTGAGCAAATATCACTTGATGTTCTCCTCTCTGAAGCAGATCAGTTGGCTGTAAGGCTTTATCTACTTGTCCCAAAGATAATGGAGTCAGGCCTTCTCTCTTTTGATTTCCTACAATGGCTTCCCTCTTTGGCATACCTTAGCTCATTTAGTTGTGTGAGGTTTTTTGCATCCCAGAAAGTTGTTTGTAAAAGCTTAAAGGTTTACAAATGTCAATGTCACTAAGAAGGGACTTCTCTCCTACCCCTTCTCTCTTTTGAGTTTCTGTGTGGAGAGGACTGAATGATACCATAAACGCATTCTAACAGCTAATTTATTTTCTTCTGAAATAATATCTGTCTTGCAACAGGTACAGTATACAGAAAACATGAGCCCATCTTTTTCCAGTCCCTTGGCAATCCCTTTATTTTTAGGTGCATTGATGGCATCCTTATTGATGGGAATGATAAAGGACTATCAAGATCAGTATACAGGTAAGCAAAAGAAATGGGGGATTGTCACTCATGTGATTTAGAAGAGGGGTACTGATAGTTGCAGTTCCCTGTTGTCTTACCCTAATTTGAGTTTACATGATTGTCATCCACCTGTGTGTATCTCATAATGCAAACAACACAACGGTGAAGAGTTGCTGGTTGTGATCCTTTATTGTGTCTTCACCTGTAACACCAGAGATGTGTTTGGATGCACTGAGATGCACTTTCCTATAAAGAAATTAGTTTTTAATAAGTAGGATGTAGCATAAAAGGATTTAAATGTTTCTCAGCTGTTACTCAAACCTGCCTAATTTGGCCAATCAAGTCCAACTCCCTGCTCCTGGCAGGACTGTCTAAAATCAAACCATAGGACTAAGAGCATTCCTTGAACTCCAGCAGACTTGATGCTGTGACCACACCAGGGGAGCCCAGTGAGCAGCCATCCTCTTGGTGAAGAATCTTTGCCTATTGTCCAGTCTGAACTTTCCATTATACATAGCTAGCCTGGACTGCTTTACCTTACCATAAAATATAATTTGCAGCAATTTGTGTTTAAATATGACATGAAAAGAAAATAGTAACTAGCAAAACTATCAAATAATACCTAGTTTGAATATTGATACCTACTAATACCAGGTTTTAATTTTGGGAGTGAGTTTGGAGCTAATACTGTAATAAGCCTTTGCATCTTTAGAGGTTAGTGACATGAGTTGACACTTCTGTGACGGTAACATTTGATGTTGGTTTCTGGGAAAGTATGTGGTAGTTTTATGCGGGTTCTTCCACCAGAGTCTGAAAGACACATTAGAGGGAGGTTTAAATACTCCTTTCAAAAGTATCATTGAGGTGTTGGTTTGTCACCAGATTGGGCAGCTGTAACTTCATGCAGCAACTGTGGCCATTTCTACAGGAGGAAGTAAGAAAACCTTTTAGGTGAAGAAGGAGTGTTTCACACTGAGGCTGTTGGTCACTTCAGGTCTTGCAGGAGGAGAGATCAACTTGGCCCATTTCAGATGAGTGATGAGAGCTGGCTCACTGCTTCCCCGCAAAACCCACTGGCAGTGGGACAGTATGTCAACAACTGCTCACGTGGTAAGTTGCCAGGTAAATTTTTGAGGCTTGAGTTTGTCTTTATAGATATAAATTACTTTGGAGGTAACACAGAGAATAGGATACTGATCTTAGGGGACAGTAGTCCTGTTTAAAACAAGATAAGCACTTACGGGATAAAAACGTTTCCGAAACTTTTTGTCACAATTTGGTGTTGGAATCCTTCAGTTTAGCAACACATCAAATATCCTCGTTCTTTTCTCACTAACTCCCCCAGTTTCCCTCCTGGTAGAATGAAAGGCACACACCCCAAAATGGGAGATGGTAGGAAAGGATATCTGGCAAAAGTCCCCTGGGCTGAGACAGAACACAGAGTTTCAGATCAAGCTCCTCAGTCTGGTTCCAGCAGACTTCATGAGAAAACCAAACGCACAGTGATATGTACAGTAAGATTCTGTCACTGCTCATTTTGAACTATTTTTTTAGACTTTCTTACATTTATGCACAAAATCTATGAAACTGTTGGTATGATCTCACTGTTGGACCTGAAGAAGGGAACTATTTATTCTGTCTCACTGTTGGTGTTAAGTAACTCATGAGAATGGTTGTGATACACAGAAAGTTGAATTGATACCATACCTACCATATCTAGCTTCTGAGTGGCTTTCATAGCCTGCATTACACTAAGGATTCCCTAACTCCAAGTCGCATCCAGAAAAGTTACTGGAGTAGCAAACCAAGTACTAACTGGCACGGACTGTCCCGTGAAACTGTTTCTTCCAGGTCCAATGTCCATGAAATAAGATTTCCCTCTTTCTGCTGGACAGATTGGGATTTCCTCCCTGGGTGTATTTCTGACATATTTTGACACTAGGAAAAATGTTTTTCGATATTTTCTTTAACAGTAAACACAAGCACTGTATTAACAACATTAACAGTGCTGTAAGCTATCCCTGGTGCTAAGCAAGCTGTGTGTCCTCATATACAAGACAATAATTGAGTTAAGCTCCTGTAGTTCATTGTGTAGTTGGTTGTGTAAATTTCAAAGTAGGACTTCAGGTGAGTGCAGTAGGTCGCAGCAGAGGAGCGGTTTTCAGGCCTGATGAGGCATCTGGTATTTTTGTAGCAGTACATTTGATGTTTTTACGCATCTCTAAGCACTATCTAATATTTCCTTTGTATTATAGAGACTTTTTTTTTTTTTCTTATTTCTAGAAAAAGCAGCAAATGTGTGCTATCAAGAGTTTGATGTTCCAGGACATTTTCCACTAGAACTGAAACAGTACCTTCCAAACATCGTCTACAACCACAACATAGAGAGGTTGGCAGCAAATCAAAGAGCTCATGGATTTGTATGATACAAGCATACTGCATGTGTAAAATAGACAGACATGGTTGAAAAATAATATGTAATATGAAGATGAATTACACAAAAGTATGCAACTGTATGGGAGAGTTAGCTCTTTGAATAGACTAAGTTTAGTTCCAAGATTGTTTGTTCCTTTTTCCATATATTCTCAGATGAGATCAGCGTGAAGACACGGTTTTACAAGCAGTGATTGGGTTGCACTACAGTGCAGTTCTGAGTCCCATAAAGCACTGGTTATATTTTGCTTGTATTACAGTATTGGGATTTTTTGGTATGTATTTCAGATGTCGTTAGTGATCTTTAACCAATCAAAGCCCTTCTGAGATAGTTCAGGTTTAGGCTTCTTACTCTCCTGATTCTCCATTTCTTCTGCTTATGTGACAAGCTGAATTTGCAAAAAAGAAACCTAAAATTGTGTTGAGACAAGTGAAGTACTATGCAGTATAAAGGCACGTGACTTTTAGTTACAGTACACAATTACAACATCCTCATTATGATGTGGAAATTCACCTTTTTGGAAATTAAAACACTTGGAAACCTTTCTCAGATAATCCTCTTCATTTCAAGGATGTATGATGATTTTTAGAGTAGATCACGTGAACTTGTAGTGTAATTCTGGAGCTTTTTTAAAACTCTGAAATTGGAGAAAGTTATGGTGCATATTGGAATATTGGCTTTTCTGATTAAACTTAGACTTCACTGAGGCACTTGTAACCTGTAGATAATAAGTAAATGCTAATAAAATAACCAGTAGGACTGAATTCTGATGAAGCCTTGATGCTGTACTTGAAGTGTGAAAGCACAGTGAGGAGAGAGAGAGGCTATGGGACCTTTCCAGGAAAGGGGAATTTTGCTCTCTTCCTTGAAATCTGTGGAAGAAAATATGGTCTTTCAGTGATTATTTCTCCCAGTGTACAGCCACTAGACAAAAGATCACATCTGTTTCCAGCTGCTTGGTTTGATACTGGTTGATACTGATATATACAATGATGGCAACATAGGTAGTCTGGTTTCTAAGTCTTTTTCTGTCTTGTAAAAGAGTTCTTAGTACTTGTTTACGTTACTGTTTGGTATGTTTCAAAATGGCCTCACACTAAATTTTTAGTAGTGGGGACTGTTTAGATTGCTGCTGTTTTTCCCTTTCTGGTTGAACAGCATCAGAAGCACATGTTCTCCTTCCTAGCATAGATACTTCAGCTTTAGAGCATGGTCATTTACTGAAAGGAAGTTTGGAGGAGTGGGTTCCTAAATTATCTCTGTAAGAAAAACGCAAGCCCCTGATTTCAGCTTGGAGTTTATGGAGAATTCACGCATCACTGTAGATTGCAGCAGGTCTCTGATGCAGTTCAGTGCTGTCTTCCTGGGTATTGCTGGGCTCTGAGTAGCTTTAGCCAAGTATCACCTGTGGGCAGGCATGTCTACAGGAATGATTTCTGCTCCATGAACTTTGCTATAGCTTCTGCTGTATAAGTTTTGACTAATTCTTTTCAATTCTGATTAACTGTGTGAGTGAAAACATTATTTGCATACCCACATAGGCTGTGCTTTTTTGGTAATTGTGTTTTATTTTTATTTGCTGTCTGTATTTCAGTCTTGTTTTTCCATACTCCCTGCACTGCATTATGCATATTACTCCCAAAACTAATCTAGACAAAGCCATTGTTTCGGCTTCTTGAAATGAAGAATTAAAAAAAATTCGAAGGGAAATAAAATTGTTCACTTTCTCATGTTTTCTTATCCTTTTTTTACAGCCACCTGAGGTGTGTAGTTCTTGTCACTCTCAGAGACATCCAGCAAGGAGAAGAACTTTTCTCAAATTACTACACTATTGTCAGATGAATTGATTCAAGACTGAGGAAATCTGTGTCAATAAAATATCTACTGTGTCTGTACTTCAAGCTTCATCATGATTTAGACTCAAGGGAAGGGCTGTAGCCTCTACCATTTGGAGAGCTAGCTGAAGGCTCGAATTTCTCTGAAAACAGTCCACATTCAGTGCACAGGTGAAGGTTTAACCATTTACATCATTAGGTTCTCAGTTGTCTGCTGTTGTTCATATTACTGCTTATTGGTGTTCAGCTGTCCACCTGGTAGCTCATAAAACGTAAATTCTGCATATGTCATTAAATGTAGTCATTTGCACAGTTGTCTGTAACTGGGACTCAGAACATGGCTTGTAAAAATGAGTTCCGTCACAGTTCACAGTATCTGATTCTCATGTTCTTGGAGCTGACCCCTTTCGTATCAGCTTCCTTTTAAAAAGTATTCCAGTGCTGCAAGTTGTCCTGCTCTTTCACGAAGCCTGTTTTGGAACCATGCTGGTGGCCTCTCAGCCGTGCCTGCATGATACACTGTCAGACAGAGGCCACCTTAGCCATGGCCTTCAGCCCTGCCTGTCCTGGGCTGGGAGGAAAGGCAGTGTGTGTCTTGAAGCCTTGTCGAATCTTAATTTTGGTGATTCACTGAAAGTTTCCTGGCATGTGGCAACTTTCATAGATTTTAATCTCAAATAGAGAAAATATCATGTTGAAGCATAGCTGGAGGAAACAATTCCAAGCAAGTTTGCTGTGTATTTTTTTAATGAGTTGCTGGTATAAACTGAGCCAGGTATTCTTACATTAATTCTTTCTTCTGTCTGCACGCTGCAGTCAGAAAGATCATCCCAGTACCTTCTGCAAAAGTCCAAGCAAGTCTCCCAGTGACTTTGTGGTTGGCATAAGCTCCTGAGAAAGGAGCTGGGAAATGGTGTCCTCTAAGGACTCAGGAGTGGCTGGGGCAGCCAGGGTGCCCTTTCTTGGCTGCTGAAGCACCTGGTCTCCTTTTCAGTAGGCAAAGCCTTTGGTTTCTGTGTTACTCGGTCTGTTTCCAAGCCTGAACCTTGTCTTTCACATTCATTTGGAAGTCTTTTGCTGCCAGAGAAGGCTGTTTATTTCAGCAGGATTTAAATAGCAGAGCTCTGAGGTGGTGGCATTTGGCTCTGCATAGGTTGTGCAAGTTTTATGTTGATGCTTGGGATAACTTCCAGTGACAGTCCTTACATCTTCACTGTGTGGTAACAGCACAAGTCCCATGAGGAGAGGCTGAGGGAGCTGGGGTTGTTTAGCCTGGAGAAGAGGGGGCTCAGGGGAGACCTCATCACTCTCTACAACTGCCTGAAAAGAGGTTGTAGCCAGGTGAGGGTTGGTCTCTTCTCCCAGGCAACCAGCAGTAGGACAAGAGGACATGGTCTTAAGCTCTTCCAGGGGAGGTTTAGGTTGGATATTAGAAAGACATTTTTTATGGAAGGAGTAATCAGTCATTGGAATGGGCTGCCCAGGGAGGTGGTGGATTCTCTGTCCCTGGAGGTTTTTAAGATGAGACTGGATGTGGCACTGAGTGCCATATTCTAGTAACTGTGGTGGTAATGGATCAAGGTTTGGACTTGCCGATGTTGGAGGTCTTTTCTAACCCGGCTGATTCTATGATTCTCTCTGAGAGGAGGTTATTAGGCACCTCATGATCTATGGAGAAGTCTGGATGTTGGGGTATCTGCAGCATTCCTTAGGTTGGGGTTTATGCGTAAGTGCGTGTCATGGACGGAGTGATGCACTTCACCCATAACAGAGAGACAACAGTACACTATAACGAGTGAGTTAACAATCTCAGTGATAGGTGTGACCATGGTGCAACAAGATTTGATGGCAAAGTACACCTAGCTATTTACTGCATACAGGTCAGGTCAGGCAAAGCTGTCACAGAGGCCCTGCTGTCAGGTCATGAGATTCAAACAGGACCCTCTTGCTTTCTAAACTCCTCAGACAGGGGTTCAGGCATTGCTGGATCCAATCCTGATTCCAGACTTGGGTCAACAGTTTATCAATTCTCTGTATTTCTGAGCTAAGATGTCAAACTTTAGCACACTTACTGAGAGTGTGCTGCTGCAAGGAATTGCTCAACCTCGAGGCATAACATCAATAGGCACTCCAGCTCAGGGGGTAATCCTGATGTGCAGCCACTGCTGTGCTAGAGAACTCAACAGGCCCTGGGCTGCACACTGTTTATGGGGGAAGGTGACTGGCTTACAGTCATAGCTGTACCCTGGCAAAGACATCTGGCTCCTGTGTTTCATCGGACTCTAAACCACTGGTGGTTATGGTTTAAACTCAGGATGGGGGAGCAGCCTGCCACGGTGGGGAGGACTCGGCATGCCAGGAAAGGCAAATGCTGCTCATTGTTCTCCAGGCTGAGAGAGATGCTGTCATGGTAGGCCATAGATTGCTTCAGCTGTCTCATTATACACTTGTTAATACCTTTTAATTGCCCAACTTAAATGTATACTCCTGACAATTGTGAATCTACAATTTGCTTATTGAGAAAGATTTGCTTTCCTGCCCTTGCTGTCTCCTGGATGTGAATGTTGCTTATTAGTGCAGGAAGTGCAGTGTTGTCTGTCACTAATAGGGTGCCTGGGAATGGCGTCTCCCTGCTGAGATACAAAAACCTGGCAGCCTGCTTCAGGGACCGCTCATACACAGGGGAAATCAGCACCTGGCCTGCAACTGGCAGCAGCAGCACTGGATTTCTAAAGCGAAAGCGTGGCAGGAGGAGGAGTGGTACTTCTGAGCAAGAAGCAGCACAATGTGGTGACTGAGTGGGAGCAAGGAAAATGGAACAGTAGCAATAATGGTCATATGTACATCACAGTGGTACTGGATGCAGTCCCTAGGAGCTGCAGTTCCTAGATGATTTCTGTGGCGCTCTGGAAGGAAGACAGGAAAGGTGTGAGTTTGTGTAAATGCTGCTGCTGCTCATTCATCTCTCTTCCCTTGCACTCAAAGCCACCATTCCTTCCTGGCTCATTGAACCCTACCATGAGCTGATCTGATCTGCTAAGCACCACCACAAGCCCCACCCAGGCTTTCTTGCTTGCTTTGTTTTCTGCTACTGCAGTGAGTGAAACGGCTCCTAGAAGGGCCAGAGTGAGCAAGACATCAGGAGGCCCATAAGTGGTGGCAGCGTTGCTGATTTGACTCACTGGATTTTATGAAGCTATGCTTTCAGACACTTGTATTTTGCACATGAAGGTGATGCTGTACTTGCCCAACATCTCACTGCCTGCCAGGCTGCTCTGCTCCCTGGCTGGGTGCTCCTCACCTGGTGACGCAGAAAACCTAGTCAGTAACTGCAGCACAAGGCAGTGATGGTGCTCTGCCACGTTAAAGAACTGTGTCAGATCTTTGGCACAGCAGGCAGCTGTGTACCAGCAAAGGCACAGGAGCGGTTGGGGATAGGCAGCCGTGTCACAGGGGGCCTGCAACCTCTGCATGGCAAAGGCAGCAGGAAAGCACGTTCCTGCTGGGGCATCTTGGCTTCCTCCCGTACCAGAGGGCCAAGTCTTGCTGGGAGCTCTAAATGACTTTTCTTTACAGAGAGGGAAGAGAAATCCAAGAATTAATACAAAATGTTTTAGAGAAATCCAAGAATTAATACAAAATGTTTTATCAAACTGATTGCCAGGGTTTATGCCTGTAACCTTGCTGCCTTGCAAGTTGTGGACAAAACAAGTCAGTCAGCGAGGCAGAAGCAGCAGTGGCAACTGAGGTAAGTCTGGAGGTGAGGATTAGATTGAGTTAGAGAGTGGGGTTGATTGAGTTCTGAGCTCCAGCACTGAGCCCTGTCCGGACCCAGAAGCACTCAGCAGCCAATCGGGCACATTGCTGGGAGCAACACAGGAAATTTAAATGGCTCTAAGGAGCACAAGCAATGCGGGGCATGGCAGTGATGGCAGAGTATGACAGGGAGGACAGTGAGGGCAGTTTGCCCAGCTATTCACACAGGATGGGCTCCTGTTTGACCACCCAGGAGGAGCTAGTAGAGGTAGGTAAAGAGACTCAGTATGTGGCGGAAAAAAGCGTGAAAAGATCCTTCCAGCCCCAGTCTTATCAGTGTACTAGTTAAAGCTTTTTCAGTTATGCTGTTGACACATCGCAAAGCTCAATCCCTTAGAGCTGTGGGAGTCACTGAACCAGCTACGTCAGAGGCCTCCAGCCAGACCTGCTGACAGTATTCGCAGCTCTCCAGGTCACAGGCTGACAGGAGTGCCTCATGCCTCTTTGTGAGGCTGTGACAGAACAGTTCTTTTTCAGGTGTGCTGCAGTTGAGCTGTGTCGCCAGGGGAAGGAGCTACAGGAAGAAGTGAACAGGCTACCTGCTATTTGAGTGAACATGCAACAGACTGACCCGTTATTTTCAGGGACACTACAGTCTCAAGACTCTCAGGAAATTCAAATCTCCATTGTAGTGGAGAAGCAGATGGACTCAGAACCCTAAAAGGTAATTAGTCAAGGATCTGTTCAAGGTGAAGGCTGGAAGCAGGTCACTGCATATACGAAGGAGGAAGGTTCTTCCTCCTGAAAACTTAATAAGTAGGACTGGCACCTTCTACAATAGGTATGAGGCTCTAGAAGGCCACACAACCAATTAGGGGGATGAAGGTCCCTCTGGCATAGAGGAGCCTCCTAAAGCAACACCACCTGTATCCTGCATCACAACCTCCTCTGTCGAGAGAAAAAGAAGGGTAGTTGTAATAAGAGACTCCCTTCTAAAGGGAACAGAGAGCCTGATATGCAGACCACACCCAATCCACAGGGAAGTCTGCTATTTCCCAGGGACTCAAATAAGGAATGTCGCTGGAAAACTCTGATTATTGTCCCCTATTGTTTGTTCAAACTGGCAGTGACAAAATAACAAAGAGAAGTCAGAGGGCAATCAGAAGAGACTTCAGGGCCCTGGGGTGATTGGTAAAGGGATCAGGAGCACACATAGTGATTTCCTCCATTCTTCTGCTACCAAGGGATAATATTGACAAGAACAGGTGCATCCATCATGTCAGTGAGTGGCTCCGATGTTGGTATAATTGGAAACATTTTGGGTTTTTTTGACCATAGGATGATCTGCTTAACACCTGGTCTGCTCACACCTGCTGGGACACACCTTTCTCAGAGGAGGAAAGAGTTCTAGCACAGGATCTGTCAGGGCTGGTTGACACAGCTTTAGAGTTGCTTGGAAGGAGGAAAAGGACAAAACCAGTCTGGCCAGTGATGAGCGATGGGATAGTGTGCCAAAACTTGAGAAAACCAGCACTTAAGGGGATCCTTCAATCTCCTTCAAGAGGTGTTGGCCACAGTGTACCCCACCTGAAATGTTTCTACACCAATGCATGCTGCAAGAGGAACAAACAAGACGAGCTCAAAGCCTTGGCCCAGTCCCAGAGGTTTGACATCACTGGCACAAGTGAAACCTGGTGGGATGAATCTTGTGACTGGAGTGCCCTCTTGGATGGTTACACGGAGGGATAGACAGGGCAGAAGAGGTGGAGGGGTGTATGTAATGTAGTGGAAGGGTTAGAATGTATGGAGCTCACAGTTGGCCATGGCACAGTGGAGAGCCTCTGGGCAAGAATCAAGGGACAAACAAACAATGAGGATGTCACTATACAACAAAAAAAAGAAGGTGCAACTTGTAACTGAAGTGTTTTGGATGGCTATTTTGTTTTGCATATTGTGTTGACCATCATTACAAAGACACCTACCTTATATCTCTTCCTCAGAAGCAGGAAAGATCATTACATCACTTAATGAATTACAACTTTTGCTGTTCAGAACTGTATCAGCTTGCACTCCTGTCTAATTAAAAAAAATAATTTCTTTACCTGAGGCTATGTTGTGTCAGCCACTCTAAAAACAAGCTTTCTGGGCCTAGCAAAGCACAGCAACTTAGCATCTGGCCTTGGACAGAACTGGTATGTAAGATCTTACAAGGAATACAGTGCTTTTCAGGGTCCAGAATGAGTGCTTTTTTTCTTGAGGGAAAGGAAAATCAGGCCAAAAGCATTTCAAATACTTTAAATTCAGTGTTAAGGCCTAAGCCAAGTAAAATTTTTGTATTCACACCTGTAATCTAGCTTCATGTGGATTTAAGAATTTGGGTGAGTTTTCTTCCCCCAGAGAACAGCAATGTGTTCCCCACAGCTTACTGTGTAGTCTGAATACTGGGTGAACCTGCTGCAGTGTGATACTCTGAAGCCACAATAAAGCCTCATCTTAGATTTGCTACACTTAAGTCATAGTGTTTTAAAAATTTGAGACAAACCATTACTTTACTATTTTACCTGCATCACTGTGTGCCACATTTTTCACTCTTCTCCATGCAGTGCTAGGTAGAGTGGTAGGCTGAGATTTAGCAGTAACTAGAGTTTTTAAAGTATGTTCAGAGTAACTGCTAAATGTCTTTGGAAATGAAGCAGCAAATATGGTGCAGATTCACGAAAAGCTTTACAAGTAAAGAAAGGTTTCCAGACATTTATTTCTGGAACTGTACACCAGGTAATAAAGTACAACAAATACAAAATAATGCTCAAAAAAATCAGTGTTTATGTACAAATATTAGAACCAATGCAACAACAGCGACTTCCTCTTGAACATCTGATACTAAAACATGTTCCGATTGTCACTTGATTTGTTGTTATGCACAGGGTACTTACTCTGAACTGAGAATAACTGGAATCTCTGTTCTTTTAGGAAGACTATATCCATTCCTACTTTATATTACAATTGATAGTATCTTCCTCCTTCTTTCAGTGAAAAATAGGAATAAAAAAAATAGTAACCTTGTCATTATTATCTTACAAATTACTGTATTTCCTTTCCCTGTCTGTAGACAATGTGCTTGTAATGCTGGGCAAATAGTATCCCTGTTGGTCAGTTTATCCATTAGTTTACATTCAAACTTGAAATACTCACTAGAGACTTTGGTTAAATTAAGTAGTATCACTGTGTTCTACTTGAACTTAAGGTTTCCTATATTTTTGACTCTCAGTTTCAATTGCAAAATTCATTGACCTAATTGTATACAATTTCATATTCCTCAAACAGTATTGTACATACTTCAAGTAAATTCAGCCGTTTGACCATGACAAGAGGAAGACTAAACACTTAAGAACCTAGCATGAGAAGATGATGTGTGACCAACTGAAGGAAAGGTATTGCTATAATCACAGCACCAGTTACACTTCTAAATGAATCTGCTACCCTCTTCAGATTCCCTGTACATAAAAAGAACACATTTACCAACACTGCAATTGCCCATTATGGATTTTTTTGGTCTGTTTGTATGAAGAAAACATGTGGCAAAGGACAAAGAATTCATCACAGTTTGTTATAAGAATTGTGCTTCACCATCCAAGAACTAAGGCATTCTAATTTCTTCATATGGTTGCGATTCAGTTATCTCCATGCTGAGTTTCAGAACGCAATTCTTTTAATAAACAGTAACAACTTCTCCATTTAAAATGTTTAAACTGAGAGGGAAAAAAAAAAAAGTAAGTCCAGCTTTTAAAAGAAAAGTTCAATAAATAGCTATTTTACATGGATAAAGTCATAGTGGTACAAATTTATGAATGTCACATCAAGCATGCACAAAAATGTTACTATACACAGAAGTAGTCAGAAAATATTGAAAGAGATATCTAAAAAGATATGAAGAATTTACATATTTACGAAATCTTGCAAATTATTGCCTCATTTTAACAAGGAATTAAAAGTAAACGATACCAGCTAGCTAGCCAACAGGCTAAGTAAGATCAGCATTTATATTAGACTACCCGGAATTCACTTTTCTCTCATATCATTTTCTGAATTTTGGTCAAAGTCTTTATTAAATAACTAAAGTGTCCTTTCAACTTGCTGACAACCCAAACCTTAGACAAGTCTCTGCCTACATTAAGAGCCCAGCAATGCATAGATAAACTGAATATATTACTGCATCAGCTAATGAGAATGGGCATGTTCATTTAAGTGCAACTGGTATAAGCATTCAGTCATCTTTGTATAATGATTTTTATGCAGACCAGCCACTCACTGTAAACCCATAGATAAACTTGAATGTATAACAATGGAGGATTTATGGCCAGTATTTTACAAAATTACTTAAAATGGGTTGATTTATAAACAAAAGAAACAAGGTACAAAGCTCAGCACAAAATGAGCAGTAAGAAGCTGAGAACTTGGCTAACAATGTCCAGAGTACAACACAGGGCCAGGGCTACCCGTTATTTACTGTGTACTTAATTAAGTTACATATTTCAGATGTTTTAGTTAAGAACTGATCAAAAAATTATATCTACCATTTTGTCCACTGTGCGAAATTAATTTGTTTTTAATATGGTAAATGTCCTATTGCATAAACACTTCAAAGCAATCTTCATTGCAATGCTGTAAAGAAAATTCCATATGCTGCATCTAAGACTCCGGATGTCAATGCAGTTCACAGTACGCATAATAAATACCCTCCTCCCTTTCAAATATTAAAGTCACTAATTTCTAATTACTCAGCATAATCTTGAAGCAACTATTACAAATATCAAAACCGCAAACTTAATCACTTGAATAATGAAAACAAATTAGTGGCAATTAAATTTGTAATATAAAGCAGTGCAAAGAAAAAGTATGGAGGGAAAGGGGCAATCCTACCGAAGTAAGGTTCAGGCTCCCAATAAACACCCTGCAAGCTGTATGCTACATCAACATGTTACAAGCCAATACTATGCTTGGTTTGACTCTCCTACAGGAATTGGAGCAAACATTTGCTAGACAAACTTCCTGGATAGCTAAATTGCACTCAAGGTTCAAAATAAAAAAATTTACTGAAATAGTTGCTTTTATGGGAGACATTTTTACTCATCCTTTCTGATTTGACCAAGGAAGTGAAGTGCCATTTTGAAGCCAATGACTTGCCAAAACAAATAAATGCAATCCATGCTAAATAAAAACTTCCAAGCATGCACTTCAAGGTTCTACTATTCCTATGCAAACTAGACAGTCCCTCAAAACTGTAGCACTTTGAACTGCAGTGCTCCTAACAATTTAAAATGTCTTCCAAATGTAGCCTGTTTGCTGAGTGGTAAATCCTAAGCTGTGCAGACTGTAGCTTTATACAGCATCAGCTATGTTAAGAAAGTTAAGGTACGCGATTGCATTACTTACTCTTCAAAGTCGTGGACAAAACCCACCCAAATTCAATATAGCCTACAACTCATCTGTTTAAGCCAGTGAGTTTAAAGTACACAGACATCTACGGCAGCATGATTACTCTTGGTAAGGTAGCCATGGCCTATAATTTTGCAACAGAATCCAAATGTAGATCTTCACTTTACTCATGTTAAGCTTCTTGTGCTAGCTTCCACTAACATGAATTTGCTGTTTTGTAAACTGAAGTGCTCTAGTTTAGTATCACATGAGAAAAGGTTCCATTTAAAAAATATCCTTGGATGTTTGTGCAGTTTAAAGTAAATAAACCCATCCCTGCCTTTAGAAGGGGAAAAAAAAATGCTACATTGAGCAGGGATCAGGATTGGTACCTGTAAACATTGTTATTCCACTGCATTCATTACGGCAAAAGTAACTTAGACTAAAAAGCCACTCCAATCCGTTCAGAACTTGTGTGCTGGTTTTGGAACGGTGGCCTCTGTCTACAGGCTTTAAAATAAAACTGAAGCAGAGCTTAAAGCTGCACCACAGAGTTCTTTTAGTCCCAAACTCTGCCAAACATCCTATGACATTTCCACATTTATGGACTGAAAAAAGAAATTACTCTTGATAAATCAAGATATAGTTCTATACATACAAAGACATCACTGATGTCATAAAGTTCAAACTTCCAGTGAAAGACTAGGCAAACCTGATAGCTCCCATCAAGTTTACTACTACTGCATAAAGTACCCACTGTTTGTTCAGTTTTTCACAGTCATTCCGAGTGAAGGGCAGCATGTTGGTGGAGAGCGTGGGTATTGATAAAACCATTTGTCTCATTTGCAGATAGACTGCTGAAGTCAGCCACTGAAACAGCCATTTTGGCACTGGTAATGTGGTGTGTGTGGTTCTCAAAGTCCACACCAAGGTTATTTACAGAGACATCATTCATGAAAGACTCTGGGACAGCAATTCCCATTTTCAATCTCTTTGCAGGTCTTTCTGTCTCCTCACTGCATATGTTCATTTGGTTTAGCTCTGAATGATAAAAGCCAGTCTCAAATAAATTAAAGCAATCACTTTCACCATTGCTAGGCAAATTAAGCAATTCTTCTGTTCCAACAGGCACATGATTAACTGGTGCTCGTGGTAAGCTGTCCATGGGAGGGAAGGTGTCATCCAGGCAGGTCACATCTGAAGTGTGGCAGACTGTGGCTACACTGTTTGTCAGTGCTGGAAAACAGATGAACACAAATGCAAATGAAATAGTTGTTCGCACAATTTTAACAAAGAGATGTTTTTTTTTCTTGGTTTACCTGTCAACTCATTGGCAGTAATAGAGTTCAGAATGCTCAGCTGCTGATCAGGAATGGTTTCTGTTCGACTGTTAGATGTTAAGGCTGAAGAATGCACTGCTCCACCAAGGGATTCAGCTTCATCTACCAAACGATCCATGTAGTCCCTGAAAGAATATTGCATCCACCATGTATTATATAACCAGAAAACATGACCTACAAACGATGATGGATTTAATTTCAGTTGCCATGGCCACTGAAGCATTACAATGCAGTGACAGAAAGGGGGAGTGGGGGGAAGAAGTCTCCTACATTTATGATTTCCATCAGAAAACACATTCCAAGAACATTTTACTTACGTAACTCCTGGATGATGGTTATATCTCTTCTTTCCAAATCTTGTTTGCTGAGCAAAGTAATCATAACGTTCTGACTTTTTCCACATGTAATAGAAAGCCACACACTCAGCCACTGTTCTGGTTCTTACCTAGCGGGCAACAAGAAGAACTGACAAGATTAATGCAAAGACTTGGGTTTTGCCATCTCCCAATTCCAACTTCAGTAATTTAGTTTTTACTGTTCTGGAACAAACAAATTTCCTTAGGAGACTTCAAACAGATCTGCATGATAGAGAAATGTACGTTGTTATGCTTCTTGTCCAACTGATACTTTCAGTATACAAGGGACATCACCTTATGCCAGGTCCCAGAACTTTCCCTAAACTTTCTGGCCTTTTACCTACTAGTCAAAAGCAACCCCCCCCCACAAAAGTGGATTTCTTACACAAATTCTGGTCCATAGTGACAGACACACACACACACATAATTTATTTCACGTTGGAAAAAATTATTTTTAACCTCTGATGCATCAATGTTCATTTGTAAGGTCCCCTTAAAATCTGACTCACCCACATATTATTTAGGATGGGAGCCTGTTGTTAAACATCAACCACAACACTATAAAGTTTACTTGAAATACAGCAAGAACACCAGACTCAAGAAAAAAAAATTTCAACGCGGTATCAAAAGCATAAAGGAGATATACAGGAAATTTTGAAACATTCATAGTCAATTGTTGCTCTTTGATAACTAAAAAAAAAAAAAAAAATTAAAATAGTAATAATAATAACAATAATAACATAAATCCATCTTCTTCAGGCACAGAGGAGTCCGTCAGAAGCAATCCAGGTCAAGATTAGAACTTCTCTGCTGCTCAGAAAAGTGAGTACTGATGGATGACTACACTTTATAAAAACAAAAAGAGCTATGCCTGATTTTGTAAACTTGCACCTTCCTGGTTAATTTAATAAAGGTGCATTCTCCCCTCCTACTGCCATGGTACAGAAATACTGTACTTCTAGGAGAGGGACACATTTAAACTGAGTTGTAATGCACACGCATAAATAGAAGTAATGTCAACACATGGATTTCAGAGGTAATACATCGACTCATCTTGCAATGCCTAAGGTTTCCAGTGACATCTAAGGAAAAAACTAGTGCAAAAACGCCAAACTGGTTTTAATATTGTTCTTATTTCTCTCTTCTGTACAGTTTCTGGCAAACCTATTGCTTTTACATATTTTCAGCATCATATAGTTTACCAATTCTTCCATTTAACTGTAAAATACTAACCTTGTTTTTCTGTATGAGATGAAAGTCTTTTCCATATATCAGAAGTGCATGTTCAAAGCTTCTGCACTCTTCTTCTGTCCATGCTGTCATCTCTTCTAGACAATTACAAAAGTAGCATGAGAAACTTGATTTTGCTCACTAATCTTTCACAAAGAATAAAATTTTCGTTCCTAATGGATGAATATCCAAACACATTCTAAGAAAAAGTAGCTCAGTTATTTAGATCCATGTTATTTCCTCTACTGAACAGATATCCTACGTGAAATATAACATTCTTCTTTACAAAGAATCTTCTAGAAGAGTTTGATTTCTGAAATCTTTCATCCTTGAAGGCAAATGATATTCAAAATGATCACTGCCTTGAGGGCAAATGATATTCAAAAGATTTATTTTTTTTTTATTAAGTTTGTCGTCAAAACAATATTTGATAGCATCAGATAGGTAATGTTCTCAGTATTTCTTCTTACATAGCATACATGGAAAAAGGAGTGAAGAAAAAACCTGTTTTAACAGATGACCCTTCTTTGAGTGAGTGAGCAGTACTTTGGTTTAGGCATCACAGAGAAGAAGGCCTGACAGAGCTCAGACCTATGTGCAAAATTGGATTTTAGTTTTACAAACAACAACATAAAAATAACTCAAAAAAAGAGTAAGACTCTTCTTACTTTCCTATCTTGATTGTGACTTTGGGTATATATATAAATAAGGAGGGATTTTTCAGGCATCTTACATTTATAATAGTGACCCAAAAAGTTTCCATTCAACTAATATTTAAAACCAGTGGGGGACCCCCCCCCGCCCAATTCCAATACATTTCTGGAAGTAGACATTGAAACCAAGACCTTAGTGCTCCTAGATGAAGATAATAATTACTCCACTGCACTGCCATGCTCTTTCTTTCTCAGCCCCAATTATTTTTGACTCCTTACTAAGAGTCTTCAACCTTTGAAGAGAAGAAAATATCCCCCTGTAAAGTCTCACTGTTGAAAAACTATGCTGGGAGTGGTGGATTTTTAGTTCCCACACTGAGAATAATAGTGAGTTTCAGTGGGTAGAGCAGATCATAACACAGTGGTTACTCGAAGAGAAAGGCACTGACAATATTACAGAATCACAGAATCATTAAGGTTGAAAAAGTCTTCAGAGATCCGAGTACAAGCCTTGGCCAAACACTGGCATGTCAACTAAACTGGAGCACTAAGTGCCCTATATGCCCAGTCATTTCTTGAACACCTCCAAGGGTGACTCCACCACCTCCCTGGGCAGTCCATTCCAATGTTTAACCATCCTTTCAGGGAAGAAATTCTTCATAATATCCAATATAAGCCTCCCCTGGTGCAGCTTGAGGCCATTTCCTCTCATCCTGTCACTAGCTGCTTGAGAGAAGCAATCCCCATCTGGCTACAACCTCCTTTCAGGTAGTTGTAGAGAGTGATAAGGTTACCCCTGAGCCTCTTTTTCTCGAGGCTAAACAACCCCAGCTCCATAAGCTGCCCCTCACAGGACTTGTGCTTCAGACCCTTCCCCACTCCACTGCCCTTCTCTGGAGGTGCTCCAGCACCAAAATGTTCCTTTTGAAGTGAGGGGCCCAGAATTGAACTAAGGATTTGAGGTGTGGCTTCACCAGTGCCAAGTTTAAAGGACGAATTACTTCTCTGCTCCTGCTAGCCACACTACTGCTGATGCGGGCCAGGATGCCATTTGCCTTCTTGGCCACCTGAGCACACTGCTTGGATCACATTCACCTGCTGTCGACCTCCAGGTCCTTTTTCTGCTTTCCAGCTACTCTGCCCCAGCTTGCAGCACTGTTGGGGTTACTGTGACCCCAGTGCTGGATCCAGCACTTGGCCTTGTTGAACCTCATACTATTGGCTTTGGCCCACTGACCCAGCCTGTGCAGATGCCTCTGCAGAGCTTTCCTGTCCTCCAGCAGATACACTCACATCCAACTTGTTTATGCCTGCAAATTGACCCAGGGGCACACTGATGAAGATACTAAACAGAACCACGCACAGTACTAATCCCTGGGGAATACCGCTTGCATTTAACTCCATTCACCACCGCTATCTGGTCCCAGTCATCCAGGCACTTTTTACCCAGTGAAGAGTGCACCTGCCCAAGCCAGGGCAATGACGTGGGAGACAGTGTCAAAGGTATTTTTCAATCCTGAAACAGGAATCTAAATTGCCAAGGGGTACTGAATTCAGGATACAGTCCTGCACCTGATGCTTTGTTTAGGCCTATATAATCTCTTCTTCTACATGAGATGTTTGAAGCATTCTTCTAATAGTCTTTCTTGTGCCTTTCAGCTTTACCTTAGTGTCCTGCTTTTGGTTGAGATAATGTTCTTCCTAGTAGCTGTTACAGTGCTGTGTTTTGGACCCCATACAAGAATAAAGTTGGTAACACACTGATGTTTTAGTTGTTGACAAATAGTACTATCAAGAATTTTTCAGTTTCCCACGCTCTGCCAGCAAGTAGGTGCACAAGAGGCCTGGGTGATCATGGCCAGGAGAGCTGACCTGAACTGACCAAAGAAATATTCCATACAACAGACTAATGTGCCCAGTATATAAACTGAGGTGAGCTGGCTGGGAGGGGGCAATCGCTGCTGGGGACAGGCTGGACATCAGTCAGCAGGTGCTGAGCAATTGTACTGTGCATCACTCACTTTTCTGGGGTTTTATTCCTCTTCTCATTACAATTATTATTGCTATTATTGTCATCAGTGTCATTAGTATTCTCACTATATTTTTTTGATTCAGTTAATAAACTGTTCTTAGCTCAACTTGCAAGTTTTACTTTTTTTTTCCCTCTGATTTTTTTCTCCATCAGCTGAGGAAGCCAGGGGGGTGTGGGGGGGGGTTGGTGGTGGTGCAGAAGTAGTGAGCAGCTGTGTGGTACTTAGTAGCTGGGGTTAAAGCATGTCACTTAGACACTTGTCTTTCACAGCACTCCACTTGTAAACACTCAAGCTTCCTTTGGATCCAGTTCTGAATAGGGGCTATGTGCAAGAACACCAACTTACACCAGGGCTCATAATCCATTTCTACTTTATGCAACACATATGCAAAAATACAGGACAAAGAACTATTTCTGCTAAATGACTCTGATTTTCATTTAAGGGAGTAATAATCAATAGGGACAAAAAAGATGGAAGCTCATTTTCCAGCATAAACTCAAGCAATGCTATTGAACTATATGGTAGAACCAGTTTAGAGTTGGCATAGCACAATGTCAGCACAGTGAGGAAGGGAGTGGGGCTTCTTATGTACCCAGACACTTTCTCCTGATTTTGGTACAAATGTCATCGATCATGATCTCAACAAGATACTAGATTATGTGTGAGAATTGCCTTGTGAGAGCAGAATCACCACTCTCCCCACCACTCTCCTCAATCTGTGCCAGTTACAACAGCAGTGGAGGAAAGAAGGGAAAGTCAAAAGTAAATCCTCAACCTTTCTACGAATTGCAAACTTCTGTAGCAGAACTTCCAACTTGCCAACCATCAGATTATACCAAATTTGTGCTAAAGTTATCATGGATAGTGATGTGCTTGATGATCTAATTCTAACTCAAGGTTTTCCCACAAAACATTTTTTTTTCCAAACAAACATTTCTGAAAAACCAGGTACTCTCTCTTACCCTGGGACGCCTTTCCATTTGAGCAGTATCTCTCAATTGCTTCTTTAACATTATGGCTACTTTTAAGAAGTTCATACAGCGCCTACAAAATGGAAAAAGACCTTAGAAGTAGTCAAAGTTTTCCAATTTTCAATCCAGACCTTCAAAATTAGCCTTCCAGAGAGCCTATCTAATGTAAGAAAAAAGAGGACTTATTTATGAAAATGATGAGTATTTAAAAATAACAGCCAAAAGCAAAGCCATCTAAAAGGTGAGACACGGTTTAATTAAAAAAAAAGGTAAATCTTATATGCAATTATTAAAGAAGTTAAATTTGTCAACAGTATGACAATCAGAAACATTACAGGTCACAATACTGCCAACATTTAAATACTTGTGATTTTTAAGCATGTGCATAAAATTACAAGTAAGATCCTGACCAAATAACATCCCATTAAAGAATGAAGAAATTGAGTACTGGTGCCTTTACAATACAAGGCAGAGAAAGAGAACACACGTTAATTACAAAGCAGTGTGTCACAAATGGAACAGGATATAAAACGTACTTGTTCACTGTCCCGTGTATGCAGTCCTTCGGGAATTCTGCCAATCATTTTTTCATTTCCTGTTCTTAAGGAGGTTTCAAAAAGGTATTCTTTAACTTTACTTTCTGAGATAACATCAGGTTTCCAAAGTAAATGGTCTTCATTTTCATAAGCTGATAAAACAGAAATCCATTAGCACCAGGTGTGACATTTTTAAGGGTGTAACATTAAAAGCTATTTCACAAATACAAAGAACAGGAACACAGAATTAACCAAATCAAGCATGATCATGCCACTTTTAAATTGCAGCTCACTTTAGCTATTTACCCATTTTCAACTAAAATTTGCCAAAAATTACTCAGCAGAATGGTAATCTAGATCTCAATGTGGTAATTTGGTTTTCCATTCACTAACAACTGAATACTCTGAAATACTTGGTACGTTGTACATTTTACAAGTAATTAGGATGTACAGTCCTCCATCATAGGACACTGAAATTATGTATGCGCCTCCTAAGGCAGCTTATTTCCAGGATAATATGCTGGACAGGCACAAGAGCTGGCCTGAACCTTTGCCAGTATGTGCATATGTTTCAACACTAGATCAAACTATAAATCCTTTACCCTGATCAATAGGTGTGGTTACTGTTGCACATAATGTTTCACATACTCTCTTGGCAATAAAAATTTAGAGTTATTTGATTCAAACACAGAAGCATAATGGCTGCTAGAGCAGAAAAAATGGAGATTTTCAAAGCTCTCCTAAAACTGCAGGAAACATTAAGCCAAAGTGGGGAATAAAACTGCACCTCTGAAAGTTCTTTTATGGTTTGAGAACACGGAAAGCCATCAGACAGACATGTTACAAGTGTAAAGTTTATAGGAGAGCAGAACTACCTTCTAGCACAATTCTGGTAGCTGAGACTATATAGCACAAAATTAAGCCCCTGTTTGCCATCACTAGCTTCTCAGGGAATAGAGAAAAGGCTTTCATAGAATGCTCCACCCCTAAATCCAGGTTCAACCTTCCAGAGCACTGCTGACATTCAGCTTCAGCTTCCTTTATCAACCAAGGCAATGCAGCACTTCTTATTCGGGTCTATGACTGATAATCTCAGAAGGAGCTCCTCGAGCTGTCTGATCTGGGAGCTACCACTTTGCTCTTAGCTATACCATCAGACAAGACCCTCACTGATTCTCTCTAGCACCAGCTCATTAGAGAGAAAGTTGTCAGATTAACCTCTCCTTGGTCATGCTCTGCTTATTGGCACTTTCTTAGTTCTTGGCTGAGGAGACATCAAGACGTGTTAATCGCAAAAGAAATACCCACATAGATCTGGTTCTTACTCCTCCATTTTTCATCCCCCATTCAGCATCATGCTTGAATCTTTGAAAACTGGAGGCTTTCCTAGATCTTAAGCAACATCAGAGATGTTCACTTCTTAACACTGCCAGCTCCTTCCATACCAAACATTCTTACTCCGTATTGCAAAGGAGTATTCTTCAAAAAAGCAGGTAGTAATGTTGAAGAGACTTGATATAATTCACTTAAATAATATCCCCATTTAAAGCTACAGTAACAGAACACAAGTAACTTACAAAATATAAAAAAATTTACAGAGAAAACCTAGAATGCTCTTCGTTTCTTCTTATTATATCACCCTGCTTTTTAATTTCATAGCTGTTTTACCCATGAACAAATTTTTTTCGTTATCTGCCTTTTTAACTCCACAGCTATATGTGCCAGGTTTTTAAACATACAAAATAAAACTCTATTAAATAAAGTTCTTTTTCTACTCTAGCACAACTGCAGTTTTAAACCTAAATCTGCACTGGAATACCATCATACATAAAACATCATATTTTTTAAGAGATGGTGTATCAGGACCATCAAGGAAATATTGTTTTCTATGTCAGTTTTGTAACTCACATGGCAGTATTTGCCAAAACACAAGCAAATAAAAATACTGCTTGTAAGATCTTCAGCGTGAACTAAGTCACATATTCATAGCCTTGCAGTGGTTCTTTGATGAAAGTATTTCCTGCTTGACCCACAGCTTGTTGCCTCCTAATATTACCAAATACTTCAGAATTAACCCTCCAATTTTGTCTTGAGAATGTCCTCTCTGAGGTTAAGAGTAACAGTTCTGAGACTGATTAATTAATGGTTGCATTACTTTAGTTTTCTAGTGCCTTTTTTAAAGGTCCCTGAGCCTTCAGCTAAGTCACTGAATTTACCTTAAAAATCTAAATAACATTTTTCCATCAAGTGTTATGTACAAACATAAAATAACTAGCATGACAGTCAGAAGAACTTACCCTTTTCATCATCACTGCATCTGCCAAGGTAAGCTGGAATTTCAGCCTGGTACTGTGAACCAACCATTATTTCCTGAAAATGTAGTAACAATGAAAAGTTATTAACAATATTCTGCACATGGAAGCATTAAGTGTCATTAACTTGGCATTTGACAGAGAGTTCTAGAATTAGGATACTTCTGATACATGCTATAAATCTTAATAGATTTTTCTTAACAGATTTTTCTTAACAGTAAAGGTTTTTTTACTTTTAAAAAATATAATTATTACCTTTCTCAAATCTTCAGATGAATTACCATGGTCTGCCTCTACATCTTCACCATCTGATTCCTTATCTCCATCACATGTGGTGTTTGCTTCAGGCAGAAAGAGGGGAATTTTTTTTAGCTAGGAAGAATTTTCGGTTCAAACACAAAAGTACAAGATATACTTTACTTCTGAAAGGAGCACCTGCTTTTATGCAGGGAGACACTTGCTGTGAGTCTGTTCATCCACATTTCTATAAAAATCAAACTAGCATGAAGTCAGAATGCATTGGTACTTGTATACTGCAGAACTGAAACATTTATCATCACTGCAACTGAGACAATCTACTATATTTCCAACAGTCAAAAGGAAATGAGATAATTTTTCTTCATCAATTTTCTCAATAAAAGCTTATACCTTAGAGAAAAAACAGAAAACTTCCAGGGCTATGACACAGCCTCAGGTTAATGAGGAAGAGTAAAGCTGAAGGCATGTCTTTATCACCTACTAAAACCTTCATCAGAAGTTTTAATGGGCACTCAAAACATTCCTTTAAACATGACTGCCTTAGCATGGTGTGAAGATACAGGAGAGAACACACCAAGCAGAATAAGTAAAAGACAACAAAACACTGCTTATTCTTCTTTAATCTTTTTCCTTCCCTTAGGAAGAAATACAGCAGAGCTTTCCAAGCAATTCAAATACAGTACTCCATTAGAATAACTCATAGTTTAGAACCTGGAACGTTGTGGCACTAGGTTTGAAGTAATTCTATTTTTACAACTGTATAACCCCCAACAGAATGGAATCTACAGTTCTGATATGATTATAGCTATTTTGTATCCTCCAACTTCAGAGAAAACATAAATTGAAAAACTAATAAATTTTAGCTTCACCACAAATAAAAAGAATCACAAACATCAGAGAAAATATCCAAGACTGCATGGACTGAGGCTCTCCTTCTGTAGCCATTACTACAATCATCAGTCTATCTCTTTTTGGTTTTACAAGTAGCAAGAAAGAAGCTAACCTGAATGCATGAAATAATATGCCTGGACAACGAGAGGCAATTATTCTATCCAATTAATGTAAATTTTATGAGATAGCCTATGTTATGTATTAGACATGATTATCTTAAAACTTAATGTTATCTTAGTATCTGAGAAATAGAAAGGAATCAGAAAAAAGATGGAACTGCCAACAGTAAAGAGAACTGACATCTCCCTCCCTGAAATGGTGGATATTTGTTTTTAAAATGTCCAGCCTAATGTTCTAACAAAGTAACATTTTGATAAAAAACCATGACAGCTGAGAACAAAGACAACAGTTTCTTAATCCTCAGTAAGATGAGGGGGTAAATACTTTTTTTCCAAAAACCTGCAACACTTTAAATGTCATATTAATTAACAGTTCACAAACGCTGGCAAGTTTTGGAGTTTGCTTAACTGAAAAAGGGGCCTTACAATGTTTTTTTGTATCTCTCTTTCAATACCAATGTCTTACTTTTATCACAGAGCAGCATGCGAAGGGCTACAGTTGCTGGTGACTGAGGCAGTACACTCCCTTTATCCCTTCCTTCTCTAGAGCAATGAAATCCCCCATGGAATAGCTTGAGACACTTGCCAAATGAAAACTGTGATAAAAATTCTCCACATTGTTCTAACTCAAGGACACCAGTGAACAAATGAGATGCAACAGGTAATGACGAGTATCTCATCCGCGCTGGATAATTGAACCGCTGGTTCCCAGATGTTTCCCATCATAGCTCCCTGGATAGTGAAATTTTGGGGGTCATGGTTTTACAGGCCCCATCCCATATAAAACTACTTTGGTTCACCCCATAAAGTCCTATGGAAAAGTGTTCAATGTGTGAAGGGAAACAATTACAAAGACACTGTGTCCTAGTTCACATCCACAGGCAGCACGAAGGAGTCACTGGCTTAAAAGCAGCAGCAAAAATCTTAGTAGAGAAACACTAATTTAAAAGGAATGGGTTACATATTCATACAATTCACTAGCATACTGAAAATCATGAAGGGTGTTCCTCAATACTGTATTAACTATTGATTATGAAGATATTTTATTCATAGAGAAACTAATTTTAATTGTGCTTTGAGCAGGGAACCAAATAGAAGTCCTCTAGGTAATCAGCCTAAGTACCAACCAAAGGCAAAGTGCATGTACAATATCTTGCATAGCACTATTTCTCAACTCTTGGTACAGTGAGCACTACTTTGCAATTTTGATATTATAGGGCACAAAGCTATATATAATGCTAAGACTCTTTGAGTACTATTATAAATTTAGGTTTCCTACATCTTAATGGCCGAGGAAAGAAGTCAGTAGCCTCATGTGAAGTAACTGATGGTGTCAAGTCATCAGCAGAGGACTGTGTTTCTTCATCATCACCCGACAAGAGATCTTTAGCGATTTCCTCCTGTATCATTAAAATAAAAAAATAAAACCTCAGACTAACTATTAAGTATAGACCGGTGAGCATTTAGATTCAGAAAACTGTTAAGTCTCTTTAATGGAGTTACTTTACCATAAGAAAATGTAGCAGACCGTACTCCCTTAATTAAAAGCTAGTTTGCTCCTCCTAAATCTAAGAACAAATATAGTGGTTCATTTCAGAGTGAAACGTAGAAAACAAAGGGGGAATTAACCCCTATTATGGCAAACATGTAAGAATTTACTTCTGCAAGCATCAGTCTCAGATGTTCCTCCAACTGCTTCCAGTAAAAAGCACCAGTGTAAACTGCCTCACATATTTAACATTCTGTCATTCTTTGCATCACAGATACACTGAAGCTTTAAAAGCCCCCTAAACTCTGGGGAAAAACAGACAGAGTTTTTTTAGACTTTTGCTGAGAGGACAGTTACAGATAATAGACAACTTTCCAAAACACAAAAGAGTTGATGTTTTTGCACGTCAAAGAAAAGATATTATGAAATAAACATCACACTTCCTTCATGAGCAGACATGTTTGAACCCCTCTGATAGAGATTTGGAAGGGAAAAAACTGTATTGGACAACAAGCCAACTACATTTTTGTAGCCTCAACACAATCGTGAATCCTAATGAGAATCAGATGTGCAGCGCCATCATTATACCCTTCTTTCTGTGGAGTTTACCATTACATCATACTCACAGGAAAAAAAAAACACAAGATACATACTTACTACTTCTGTACTTTATAAGCTTAACTACAAGCTGCATATGCTTTGTGGCCAAAAATCTCAGAATTTAAAGTTAACTCGGAAACCACAAAAGCTGCAATTTTAGGTTTTTACTTCAGCAATGCAACATATATAGTCACCGCACATATAACAATTTCTCTCTCATTCCCCAAAGCTGAGACCTTCCCAAATGATATGCATTTGAAAACAAAATTCCAGAGCATTCATGATTGCATTTTCAAGTTATACACACAACCATTTTGGTACTTGATGTGTGCTGGAATTCAGAATTATTTCTGGACATTGCATATATTATTGAAAAATCTCACTTAACAAAAAAAAAAAAAACAAACAAAACAACAAGCCACCTACTTCAAAGTTCTTTTGCATGTTTTTTAGAAAAACTGTTTACATGCTCATTTCTGTTTTGTATTAATATAGTGCCACTAAAGGTGCTAGCTATTTGAAACTGTCATAATTATTATTAGAACTAGGTCCTCAATATCTTTGAAAAGGTAGGAATTCAGAGTAATAACATATACTGAAATTAACAGAGATACACATTTTGTGCATAAAGAGATAGTGAAATATAATTTAAGGTTGCCCAGATTACTGCTTTTAAATAACAATTCAGGGGAAAATGGTTCTGACTTACTTTATCTAGAGTCATATCTGGAAGTTCATCTGCAAGTTCACTTGGAGAGCTATTCGCACTGGAACCTGCCATAACTGGGATCGTGGGTTCATAGCCATAGAATGCCAGCAAATCTTCCAATGGCATGCTTCCTTCCTAATATAAGATTTACAACATTTCAACATATTGCCAAGTACTTGTAAACAGTTCATGCCTGAGAGGATAGGACGTTTTGAAGAACAAAAGTAAAAAACAAACAAAATTCAAATGAAAGCAGGAATGATTAAAGGTTTAAAATATTTTAAGGCATGGGACTGAAAATCATGATTCTGTGATGGAAATAATTCATAAACATGTCTCTTGGCATACAGTGAAGTCCTGTCAGGGTACTGGGGAAAACTGTTAACTGGATGAAGGTAAAGAGTAAGTATTAAAAATGTGCTCATTATCTGATTCATACTGTAAGGTATGTTTTGTCAATACTTCAAGAGAGAAATGCAGAAATCTCAAAGACTTAATTCCTATATAGCTACAGCTGCACATGTGAAAACCCCTAAAAAAGTAAACCAATATAACAACTTTTAAGCCCTCCTTTTCATCTCTTGCACAATGTATTTTATATTAACCACTCAGAAGGTAACAGGAGAAAGACAGCTGACAAGGCAAAAATCAAGAGAAAGGCTTGATTTATAACAGCTTTTATCAAGTGGCTTTAGTAAGTATCATCATAATTGCATCCTAATACAATTAATAAAACAATAAACAGTGAAGATTTTCTTTAGTCACCTGATTCAAGCCACCAAAGTATTAAAAATATTTTCCACTACTTATACCTCTAAAAATTTGTTGAATTCATACACTGATTAAATTACTTTCTTTACTCAGCTAAGGTCTTACTTCTGCACAGACATTTCACAATGGTTAAAGCTAAACTCATGTCCAAGTCTTTCCAAGATCAGGAACTAAAATAATAAAGTGTTTCAGATGAGTGGCCCTCAGTCCTTCTTTAATTATAGAAGCAGTAAGAGAATTTTGTGGAGTAACAACTCCATTTTAACCACTAGACCCAGCAAGCTGCTTTACACTATAACTGCAAGTTCATCATCAGCAAAAATGTAATTAAGGTAGTTAAGGAAGAAAAAAAATTAGGAATATAAACACTGTCAATTCCACATTCAGAAAATGTGTTTCTACATGGAGTATATAAACACAGCCTTGCATTTGATGCTTAAACATTACACTTTCCTGGAAGTCTTTTGACCAAAACCCGCAGTTAAGCTGAGTGGTGTAAGTGGGTCACCAAACAGTAACTCAAGCAGCATCAATCTGTGGGTGTTCAGTGTTCAGCAGGCATTTAGAATAGGTGATGTGCTGTCACAGATGAACAAGAAGTGTAAATATGAAAAACATCTAATTAAAAAGTGTAAAATGGAACAGGAAAGACCAAGGAGCATGATGATTTTGTACACCCACTGAATGCCAAACTGATGAAACTAAGACACAGAAGAATCATTTATACAGTAAACTAACATGACCCATCATGCCTAAAACAGGACTGTTTGTTTAGAAAAGCAAAACCTGACCAACAGAATGAAATACAGCTAGATGTCACTTTAATAGTATGCAAAATGTACAGTTTCAACTTAAAAGTTAAGTGATCTTAGATGACAGGCCTCTAAAAACTTCAACAGTGATTTCTCTACCAAAGAAAATGGACTACTAAATGAAAAGAATGCAAACCTTTGAGAAGCTAAGTTCAGCCTTTTTTATGATGATGCACTACTACATCCTAGCTGAATCTGATTTTCTTTTAAACAAGTTGCAAATGCATTTTTGCAGAATACTGCACTACACACACTGAAGGACAGGTTGAATGTGCTTTTCACTAGGAAAGTTACAGTATGTATGGACACCCATGAGAGAGCAAGTCACTCTTTACCTTTTCCAAATCTTCGATTTCAGAGCTGAAATTTTTGCTTTCTTCCATCATTTCCTCTTCTTCAAGAGTTCTCTCATCATCATAATCATGTACCAGCATTTCTGCAGAGGGGTCAAAGTCATGATCCTCAGATGATAAAGAGCCAACTGTGAAAAAATTTCACATTAATTTGCATGAATTCTTTTATAAAAAGGGTCAGAACTCTCAGTGGAGTAACAAATCCCTAACTACTTGACAAAATCAGCTGTTTCAGCTGACCTTCCCTTTTCATATTTTCAAGTAATAAACATAGATTTCTCTATTGATATGTATAGAGTATTTGGAAGAAGTACCTAAGGACAAACTTCCAGAAAGTACAATCCCAAATTAATATTTTACTGAATTAAAGGTTGTTCAAAATACCCTTGAAATGATCACTAAGGCACAAAGCACACACAAGATTTTAGATGCTGCAAGGCTGTGATCTACAGCACCTGATTCTATTTATGTGATTTACATGGTAGCAACCATAGTTTTTCACTAGTAAACAGGTAACTTAGGTTCTGAATCCACTTCTACTAACAACAAAATAAAGTGAGACTCACTTCCAATCAATTTAGCCTCACAGATACAACGTTTAATACAACTAATTTAATTCATAGCACTTGATCTAGAGAAATACATATAGCAGAGTTTCAAGAAATATGGAGGAAAAAACAAAATGCTTCTAATGAATCACGTTAATTAACAAGCCATTGTGACACGTCTGTGGTGCAACAGACAGTTTTTCATGACTAAATAGGGTTGTTTTGGTCTGTAATATTCACTTTCTTATGCCTTTCTGGATGGACAAAATAAACAGATTAGGATATTTCTCTTTTACTTCTGGTTTCCCCTTACATACTAGTTCTCTGTTGCAATCCTTGGCTTACAAGCAGCAAAGAAAAGATTTATCAAGAATTATTTCTATGAAACAACTTCTTCAAAAGTTTCAAAGGAAACAGCTACAAATGTTCAATCCCCTTCAAAATCCTCTTTGCACTGCTTCCAGCCTTGAAAGAGACAACTGTATGTACTAACACTTCTGAACCCTAAAGCATCTAATTTTTCAGCAATTATGTTAAATGTTCATTCCTTATACGCAGGTAACTAAACTTCATTTAGCTTGCTTAAGACGAGACTGTGAAAATTTGTAATATCATGCTGTAGAGAAACATTCAGGCCACAAATGCTTTTGTATTCATATTCATATTCATATTCATATTCATATTCATATTCATATTCATATTCATATTCATATTCATTTATGGTCTCCCAGATCTTTCAGTTTCAGCTGACAATGTCCTACAGTTGTAGTAATGACATTATGTGTTTAATTCCCCCACTGTTGACCATCCTGCTCCAGTTTTAAGGAATCACAGAAGTGTCAGCTGTCTTTATTAAACCTGTATTTATACGTGTGGGCTCAAGATTATTGCTTCTAATTGCTGTTCTAACTCATTTGGCATTTAACACAAGGGGAAGTTCTATTTCACTGGCTGACTTTACGTTAAAAAGTCCCATTTCTTCAGTGGTTCTGAGTGTTCAATATCCCACTAGGAATATTTAAAACCATACTGAAAAACACAAGCTCAAGAACTTCATAGGAGTAGTTAAAAAGGATGACAAGCAGCCAGTGCAGAAGGCAGTTGCACAGAAGCAAATACGTTCCCCAAGTATTTGAGAACAGCCCTGCTGATGTTAATTATGTTTGCTCGTGTAAAGTATTCCAAAGAACCTTAAAAGCAGTTACAGCCCTAAAAATTACTTATTGTTATGATTTTAAACATTTTCTGTTATTACCAAGAATTCAAACATTTAGACAAGCCTCTAATTAACAGCAACAAGAGAAGGTGGTCTCTCCAGGCTACACGGATTTACTGAGATGCAGACTTAAAAGTGCCACAAAACTGTTTTCGTTTTGCGTTCCGAGCAGCCAATTTCTAACTGCAACTGGAGTTAAGAGAAGGACTCCGCAGCCCACATCTCCACTTAAGAACCTGGAAGGTGGTTAATAGCGTGTACACGAAGCCTCAGGAAAACTACGAGAGGATTAATTTGGGAAGGAGCAGCAAGGAGAGAGCGGCGCGCGGGCGACAGGCCGGGTGCCAGGGCAGGAGGTGGGCGAGGACGAACCTGGGCTCGAACTCCCAAATGAAGCCTGCAGGGAAGAAGAAAGAGCGAGGTGAGAGCAGACTCCCTTCGGCTCGGCAGCAGGCAGCGCTCTCCATCTCACGAAGCCCTGAGAGCTGCCCCCTTTCCCCGGCACCCCGTTTTCCCCTGCTGCTCGCCGGCCTCGGCCCCCGCGTCCCATCCCTGCCGGCCCCTCCATCCTGCTCACCCTCTCCCACCCCTCTTTCCCTCGCTCCCGCCCGCGACTCTCCGTCCCTCCTCCTCCCCTGGCAGGAGGGCCCCCGGAGGCGCGCCAGGCCCGGCCGGCGCTCCCGCTCCCTCCGGCTCCGGTCGGGCGGGACGTGACAGAGATCGGACCGGCCGCCGCCTCCTCTCTGTTCCCAGCCCGGGGCTCGCTCCTCCTCCCTCCCTCCGAGCGCTTCTCCACCGCCCGCTCCGCGGCGGCGACACCGCCGGCCCGTCCCGCGGGCCGCGCACCGGCACCGCGCCCGTCCCTCGGCCTGGCCACGCAGGCCGCGCCGCCCCGGCCCCGCCGCCCCGGCCGGCCCTGCCGGGGGCTCCCCCTGGGGATGCGGGGGCGGCGCGGGGCGCCGCGGGCGCGGAGCCCCGCGCGGCAGCGGGGGAGCCCCGCGCCCGGCCCGCTCTGTCCGCTCACCTCCGCCATATTGGGACGATGGGGCCGAGCGGCAGCGCCGCGCCGAGTGCCCGGATGGCGCCGTGAGCCAATGGCGGCCGCGGGCCCCGGACCGTCCGTGCGGCGCAGGGGACCGGGCCGGGCCGGGCCGGGCCGAGCAGGGCGGCGGAGGCGGGGCAGCAGCGCCGGCACCCGCCGGGACCCTCCTCTGGCGGCGCCGCCCCGGCCGGCGACGGCGCTCGGCCCGCCCCGGCCCCGCCCGGAGAGGGCGCCCGCCGCTCTCCGTCCGCCCCGCGGCTGGGAGGACGCGGTGGCTCGGACGGCCCGGGGCGGGAGCGGCACCTCGGTACCGAGTCCCTGTCCGGTGCCGGTGTGCGGAGCGCTGGCGGCTGCACTGACTCCCACGCCCGAAGTGTCAGGAACAGGAAACAGAACTCCAAAGCTTTCAGCCGTTCTGCTGCACGTCGCCTGCTTTGGCTTAAACGCGGAACGTGAAGTTTACTTTGCAGTGCTTTGGGGTTTTTTGAATTTTTTTTTTTTTTTTTAAATCTAAAAGTTTAACGTCTATTACATGTAAGTAATATCTACTCCATTTCACAGAGTTGTTAGGGTTGGAAGAGACCCCTGGAGATCATCCAGTCCAACCCCACTGCCAAGGCAGGGTCATCTGGAGCAGATGACACATGAACACGCCCAGGTAGGTTTTGAATGTTTCCAGAGAGGGAGACTTCAGGACCTCTCTGGGCAGCCTGTGCCAGTGCTCTGCCATCCTCAATGTAGAGAAGTTCTTCGTCATGTTGAGGTGAAATGTTCTGTGTTTAAGTTTATGGTCCTTGCTCCTTGTCCTGTTGGTGGGAACCACTGAAAAGAATGGTACCATCCCTTTGGCACCTGGCTTCAATATATTTATATGCATTAATGAGATCTCCTCTGTCTTCTCTTCTCTAGACCAAACAGGCCCTGCTTCCTCAGCCTCTCCTCATAAGAGAGATGCTCCAGACCCCTCATAATCCTTGTGGCCCTCAGGTGGACCCTCTCCAATAGCTCCTTGTCTTGTGTGGAGGAGCCCAGCACTGGAGACAGCACTCCAGATGTGGCATCACTAGGGCCAGCTAGAGAGGGAGGATCACTTGCCTTGAACTGCTGGCCACACTCTTCCTGATTTCTTAGTGGTACTTTTTGTTTTGGTACACATAAAGTGGGACTGGGCTGTTTTCCGCTTGATATCTTCATCTCGGGCTATAAAGACTTATGCTTTTAATTTTGGAGTCATGTTTCTGCTTCTGGCCAAAATGTCGATGGCCATACTTACTATATTGAATAATGCTCTGCTGGAGGGGTGGTGTGAGTCAGAGCAACACTCATGCCCCAGGCTGTGTCCCACATAGGGCATTGCAGAGGCTCAAGACTGTACCACTAAGTGAACGGCTCCTTTGGATGCGTTCTGAGTTGCGTTTGCAGACAGTGTAGAGATCGCAAGCTAGTTTAGGTACTTGAGGAGTGGAGCTCTGTATTGCTTAATCTATTCTGCTGGGACGTGTTGCTCTGAGAAACAGTAAAGTAAACTGTCTCATGTGCTGCACTGCTGAGTCTAGTATAATTCCAGTACATAAACTGTTTGTATGCCTTCAAACTACATAGCAGTCTACAATGTAGTCACACTTCTCTTGATGTACCTGGAGTAAGATGATGACAACATAAAAATTGCAAGACTTCGTGGAAACATTCATTTTAGGAAAGTTGTAACGGTCATAGCAGCTTCATCAGTACCTCAGCCTCTGATACCTGATCAGCCTTTGCCTTTATTCAAAGTTACCTGGTAAAAATGATCAGTGAGAGACAGACAGGCTATGTCAGAACACACTGCACATAAATATTAAGAAGGAAGATTCAATCCTTTCCACTCAAAAATTAAGAAAGCAGATTTGATCCTTTCCACCTTTGACTGGTCTGGAATGCCATTATAGCCCACTAATGCTCCTTAGCCTTTCTCAGTATTGTTCCCTCCAGATACAACAACCCCAGTTCTCTGTTCTCTTGAAGCCTCAGCCTGGGTAAGACAAATTGCTTCTCATGAACTCAGAATGTGTAACACATACATAGGCCTGTTTATCTTATCAACAAAATAGCACAGAAAATGCAGCAGAAACTCCCCCAATTCAGGGAAGTACACATTTGCTACTGTATACATTTTCATAATAGGAATTCTTCCCAGTTTGTGTGCAAGTAGCTATTTCCTAACTTCTGATGTAGTTTACTTCCAAGTCATTAGCCTGTTCAACATGATTAAACTTTTCAACTGTGTGTAATTTTACAGAAAAATCTCTTGTTAATTTGCCACTTAAAGTATTTTATCAGATATAGAACTGAGTTTTCTTATTATAATTCAGTCCTCTGATAAAATAGTATGAGCTCATAGCTCTGTCAGAGCAGGTCATGACGTGTTCCAGAGCTCCCATATAAGATTACCAAGTATTGCCTCTGTATGTCTTACTGCTGGGCAAGGAGGAGTGTAGAAGTTTTTAATGAAAGGGTAGGTGGGTAATGGAATTATAAACAGTGAAAAGCATAACAAGAAAAAATTTCTCCGAAGTATAGAATTGCATGTTGCTAATTTTCATTTTATAACAGTGGCATACATGTCACACTGGGTGAAGGGAGAAGACCATTGTGCTTTTTGATGTCTCAAAATATTTTAAATGCATACACCGTTTCCATTATAATTTGAAAAATATTTAAGAAACTTATTAAAGAAATGCTGTTAGCCATTCTGGTAAAGTTAGTATAGCATAATAAGATTTTATTGTTTTGGGAGGACTGAGGAGGAAACCCTGTACTTGTGTTTTGAGGGTATTTTGCCTATTTCTTGTGAGCCAAATTATAATTACAGAACGACAGAACCATTTGGGTTGGAAAAAAAATGAGATCATTGAGTCAAACCATTGACTGACCATCACCTTGTCAACCAGACCATGGCACTAAATGCTATGTCCTGTCATTTCTTGAACCCTTCCCACCCAACTTGGTGCTGCCTGTGAATTTACTGAGGGTATACCGGATCCCCTCATCCAGATCACCAGTAAAGTTTAACTAAATAGGACTTGGCCCTGGGGCAAACCACTAGTGACCAGCTGCCAACTGGATGTGGTACCATGCACCACTCCCTGGGCCCGGCCATCCAGACAGTTCTTAACCCAGTTCTTAGCCATGAAGGCTGCACCTGTCCAAGCCGTGGGCTGCCCACTTTTCCAGAAGAATGATGCAGGAGATGATGTTAAAGACTTTACTGAAGTGCAGGTAGACATCCACAGCCCTTCCCTCATCCATTAAGTGGGTCACCTGATCATAAAAGGAGATCAGGTTGCTCAGGGAGGACCTGCCTTTCCTAAACCCTGCTGGCTGAGTCTGATCCCTTGGTTTTCCTGTGTGTGCTGCATGTTCCCACTCAAGGTGATGTGTTCCATAACCTTGCTGGGCACAGAGGTCAGGCTGAGAGGCCTGTAGTTCCCCAGATCCTCCTCCTGGTCCTTCCTGTGGATTAGCATCACTTTTGCCAAAATCCATTTGTCTGGGACCTTCGTATTTAGCAAGGACTGATGATAAATGATGGAGAGTGGCTTAGCGAGCGAGCTCTTCCACCAACTCCCTCAGTACCTTAAATTTGTGACTGAAGCTTACAATAAGTATCATCATTGTCTATCAAAAAGTTCACAAAGATACACATATTTTTAAAAAACAGTACTATGCACATGGGTGGTGGACAAAACTTGCAGCAAATCCTTACAAAACTGTTCTTCATGACTTCACTTGGATGTGAAAAGTTTCTAAATTAGTCATTAAAAATGGGGGAAATAAAAATTGGCACAAGTTCATGCCAGTACAGGTTTTTTGAAAGGGAGAAAAGGGATATATCAAATAGATTTGGCTAGGAAACAAAACTATTAAAATGCGATCTGCTTTTATTTAGATATGTACAAGATCGTAACATCATGCTAGTCATCTGGTTTCCTGGTCTCTGCTTTTAGTTCACAAGTTAGCCAGGCTAACTTTTGGGGAAAACACAGGAATTTTACTTTATAGAATAAAAGGATAGGGTAAAGGCAAGCATCTTAGGAAAACTGGTCACTTGGTATTGAACATTCAGTTCATAATTCCTCCAACTTGTTCCTTTTCATCTAAATAGTTTCTCGTGATTAACGGTTATTATTTTGAGTTCTTTATAAAATTTAGAACAGTCAATATTCACCTGCTGTTGCTTCACTTTCTGGGGTGGAACAGGGGAGAAGTACAGTACATTTAGGACTCAGGTATGTATCCATGACTTTATCCTTCAACAAAATAAATATAATTTAGGCAACATTCATCTGGGATATATTTGAAAAACAGCTGCACCCTTATAACCTCAATTATTACCTTTCATTACATGAAAGGAATATTACTTAATGGAGATAACCGATTAAAATAGCTCCAAATAGCCCTTAGTTTAATACTGCATAATGTTTCTGAAGTGCATTATTGGAGAACAGTGCTCTTACTGTTAAAGGGAAAAAAGCTACTAATCAGGCTATTTTCAGTCACTATATATGTGGAAAAACTTGAAACGGAGAAGGTGTTCTTTTAAAAGCTTGATTCTAAATGATGTTTTAATCTCCAATCAGTATAAACAAAAGCATGGCCTCTGAGTTCTTATCCTGGCTTTTCACTTGTGTCACCAAGATACTGATTCTTTGAGGTAGAAACAGCCATTATCTTGAATGCGATATAATGATTAATTTCAATAATGTAGGTCAAATATGTACTTAGGTAACATTCAAAATTAATACTGTGGTATTACTTCAAAATATGAACTATTAACTACAGCTTTATTGAAGCCTTTCCCTAGAATTTTGCTACCATCAAAGTCAGTGGTAATTGTAATATGAAAGTTCTTCGGAAGTAATGAGTCAACTTATGTTTTAATTTTCAGACCTGCTCAGTACTTGCTTATCGTGTTTAATGCATGGAACACAGAGATGTCCAGAATTTTTGAAAAATCAAATAACTAGAAGCTATACATCATGCAGTGGAAAAAATAATGGCCGATTATTTAATACAGTCAAATTCCATGATCTTATTTCTGTAGACAGACCAACTGAAATCCTG